TTGGTTTTCTTGCTGTGAGGCAGACCTTATTTTAAGCTCAGACCGCTGAGTGTTAGGACTACAAATCATCATTGCGTCATCTTGTCACTAGAATTTGCAGTAAAATTATCCCATTGAAACCCCACTTCCTTTCATCTGCTGCCAATTTTATTCCACAAGAATGGATATGCATGAATGAAAACATATTGAACTAGATTATATTGCCACCATGATTTCTGGATGATCTAGATGCTAACTGGGCAAAATCAAAAGAGCCCAAAGTATTCTATAGACTTAGTCAGGATAGCGCCATATTTAAATTTTGACAGGAATTAATTTAGCGAGGCCCTGAACGAAACAAGTACAGCTGTCATGATAACGAAATATATCCGTTGGTGTGGACACTAATATAGTTGGTTATAGTAATGGTTTTTGGTGTGAATGGGCCTTTAGGGAAATACGTTTAATTTTAGGGGTTTGCTCAAATTCCAAATTAGTATGAGCAGCAACAGTAATAGACATACTGGTGCAATCACCACTATTAAATATTATTTATATATTATTTTTAATTCACATTAAAACACAAATGAACATGAATATTTTATTATTATATTCAGTATGTATATACAGTATATAATACAACATTTGTAGCAAACATATTGGAAATTTTTTCTATAAAACAGACACTTTGACATGTGTGATGATAACCTCAGCTGAGGTGGGGGTCTTTCTGCATTTCCCTGCTCCGGGGGAAGAGGCTAGGGTTAGGTGTCATCAAAAGTAGGACGAGGTGTCCTGAGACGGTGGGGTCCAAGCTCAGGTCAGTGTGATACATTGCAGCAGGACTTCCGCAAGGAACAGAGTCCAGCACAATGGTGTGAAACATAACCAATGACAAGCTCAGCATGTTTTGAATGCTTATACATTTTTAAGTCATTAATGCACATTAAACTGAAGTGAAGATTTTAAATAAATGCTGTTCTTCTGTTCATCAAAGAATCCTGAAAAATGTTTCACGGTTTCCACACCAATATTAAGCAGCACAACTGTTTTTAACATTGATAAAAATAAGAAATGTTTCTATAGCAGCAAATCAGCATATTAAAATGATTTCTGAAGGATCATGTGACGCTGAAGACTGGTAATGGCTGCAGAAAGTCAAAGACGTTTGACCAAATTGGGTGACCAAAAGAAGACAGCTTGGCCATGTTGGTCCACTAGCTAGACCAGTACCAAAACAGCACAAACTCACATAAAATAGCCTAGACCAGCATTGAATTGATTCTGGTCTTTTCATCTGGGTAAAATTATTTTATATTTTCTGTTTAAAATGATAGTGGTGCTCATGTGCCAGTGCTCAATATAAACAAATACTGAGAGAGGAAATGTGCATGAAAACTAGCAATTAGTGTCTAAACCCGGTGAGAGGAACGTGTTGCTAAAATAAAGACCTCCTGTTTCTCATGGATAAGGGAGGGCATGGCCTATATTTAGCATGTCTGAAGCAAAATCACATTGCTATTTCAAGCTAATATGCAGATACTCTGCAAGGGGTTTGAGTATAATTTTTTTCTGTCCTTGTCAGTTGTTTTATGCAGATGTATGGGACACTTGCCAGGATAACCTATCTGACTTATACATATAAATTGCTCCAGTGAATGTTTCAAATAATATTCAGAAATGTATATTAAAAATGAAATTAAACAAAGCTTATTGCATTCCAATTAGATTGAATAAATATAAAGTATATAGTCTAATCTTGACTGAGTTGAAATAGAAATCGGTCAAGATGGACAAATTTATCAGGATCTTTTCATTAAAGAGCAGGTCTAAACTACTTTACAAGTAATAATGCTTTCATTCACACTGTTATAGGAATGTGATTTTAGTAGTAAATGTCAAGCTCAAGCAAACAGTAAATCTGTATTAAATATGCACGACCTTGTACTACTACAGTCTGGGACTGACTCATTACAGAACAGAATAACATCAAGTCAGTTCCTGTGAACTGAGGTCAGAGAAATCACAGACAACCTGGCAGAAATGAATTATAAATGCGGTGATTTTAAAACAGTACAACAATGGCATAAGTAACAGAAGCTGTGCCCTTTTAAAACAGATGACAAACGTTTGTAGATATTTTACTTGTCAACAGTTTGCTACAGTTTAGGTGGCAGAAGAAACTGGAAAAGAGCGAACTATCAAACAAATAAATGCATTATGCTTCTCTTCTGGTAGAACATTTCAAATATAAAATGAAAACGTGAAATAACTGCCTTGGTCCTAAATGTTCAGAGTGTTGGCTACTACTGCCACCCTGTGGAATAATGCTACTGTGAGACTTGTATGAATTACAGAATTAGGCCTACTGTTGTAAAGTAGTGTTGTTTTAGTATTTACTAGTTTTTATTAATAATTTTGTAATTAATATATATATACACTGAACAAAATTATAAATGCAACACTTTTGTTTTTGCCCCCATTTTTCATGAGCTGAACTCAAAGATCTAAGACTTTTTCTATGTACACAAAAGGCCTATTTCTCGCTTCCTGATAACGTTCGGGGAACAGACACACTCTCTCTGTTTAAATCTAGATTAAAGACACATCTCTTTGGCCAAGCATTCAAATAATGCATCTCATAATCTTGTACTATAATTATAATAATAATTAATAATCTATAATCTTGTACTGCAGTTATATCTGATAAAATGCACATTATTATTCTTTAGCTTGGGTTAAACAAATCAATTTCGCTTGGTTGGAACAGCAGCTACGCTAATTATGTCTCTATTTGTTTCTCTGTTTTTGCCACAGGTAACTAGGATTTACACAAGCTTCAGTCTGGATCCAGAACACCTGAGAAGAGATGATGCCAACCCCTCAGAAGACCTCAGATGATGCCAACCCTGAAACAACATACAGAACTACCCAATTTTGCTATAAGTTTGATTGCATCATATAATAATTGCTGTTAATAGTGTTCATCGTCTGTTTGATTACGTCTTTAATTGATTTTTCCATACATTTCTGCCATATGTACATTAACTGACAGTCACCACTGATAAGCTACCACTAAATATTGTAGAAACGTAATTTTCTCTAAAGTTGCTTTGCAACGATTTGTATCGTGAAAAGCTCTATACAAATAAACTTGAATGAAATTGAATTGAAATAAAAAGAAAACAGATAGAATAGAAAAAGAATAGAGCAAGCTAGTGTTAGAGGCCTTTCTTGCTTTTGTTAATTGTATAATAAATAAGAAAACAAACAGAAAGAATACAAAAAGATGAGAGAAGCTAGTGTTTTTTATACATATATATTTAGTTTAATTTTATTAGTAATTTTGTTTTATGTTTTTGTAATTATTATTATTTTAAAAATATGTATAGTTTTTATGAATTTTTGTATTTTAGTTTTAGTTTAAGTTACTTTAGTATGTCACTTAATGAAAACGAGAAATACTGCCTTGGCAGCTATATCCATTCTTCAAGCTGCTTATCCTATGTGGGGTCATGAGGCCTTGGCAATTAGCTTAAATACAATTATTTTATTTCAGTTCAGTTACTGTTTATTTTATTTCAAATAATGAAAAAATATTTATGGTCATAGATTTAGTTTTAGTTATCTAAACAAAACAGATTTATTAAGTCAAACTTGACAAAGCTTTGCCTGAAGTTCAAAACAGTCTTATGCGCTTTAATGCTTGAACAGTTTAAAAAGAAATTAAAGTTTTAAAGGGATGTAGGAGGTTGCTAGGATATTTCTGGTGGTTGCTAGGGCATTGCTAGACAGCATATTCATGAGCATATTCAATGTGGAGGACTGGCATTATATACTTTGGAATGGTCATTCTTGTTAGATGGAAGTCATCAGAGATCTATAAATATTAACTGTCAGTATACAAATAATAAATATATGATATACTGTTGCCTTCTGTAGAGTTGCTTATAGTTGAATTGAACTTGTTTCATAATCAATTAACTTTGCACTGTAATTGAACTGAACTGAATAACACTGAACTGACTGGAGCTGAATAATGACACCATTGTACGTTTGTTGCGTAACTGATGAACTTGGCAACATTGATATTGAACTAAACTGAATCAACACTGTACTAAAATGAGAAGAATAATGACACTAATTGTCTTCTGTAGAGCTGCTTTACATCTGAAATTGAATTTGTTTAATAATTTATGTATTTTCAATACTGTTATTTTCCTGTTTGTTACTGCAAAGCTTCTTTGAAACAATCTGTGTTGTATAGAGCTCTAGCAAAACAAAACAAAACGTCCTTCCACATTTTTTATTGAACTTTCCCCCCCTGAAACGTTTTAGTTGGACGTCCGTCTGTTTTTAAACTGTTACTACTTATTTCAGAACTTTGACAGAACATTCAAAAGTAACGTTCCCATAATGCTTGCAAAATGATAAAATGAAAAATTTATGAAAACAAAAAAGTTTTTAAAACATTTAGAAACCTGGACGTTTTGAACATTCAGAGAATTTTCAGAAACGTTTTCATCATTTAATGGGAACGTTCACAAAGCTTTCTCAGAACATATATTTGTTAGCTGGTTATATAAATTAACGTGTGACTATTATTGCATATAACCATATTGTAATACTAATTTGCTTAGCATTATGACTCGTATTCTGTTTAAGTTGCTTACATCTTTATTAATAGTGTCACACTATTAAAGATGTAAGCAACTTAAACAGAAGTCATAATGCAATGCATGATGCAAAGCTCATAATAAGAGTCATAATGCTAAGCAAATTAGTAGTAGGCTATTACAATATGGTTAGCTACAATAATAGTCTTGCAAAAAGCACAAGAATGTGTATGACAAACCTGTATATAAAGGTGTAAATCTCAAAGCTAATTATCAAGTGTAACCCACATAGACTACTGTGTGTGAGGTCTATGAACAGCTTTAATCTAAAACCCGGTTCGCTGTAAACTTGTTTGAAAAGTGTGCCAAAAGTTCTGCGTCTATCATTGGCTCCCTATAGACATCCGGGTACTGCAGCACAGCCAACCTATGAGGCCAAAGACACCAATATGGCGGAGGTAAGCTGGATAGCTGGAAAAACTATTCGATTATAAATACATCTCTTTAACGATTTACTGTGTTATTGGGGACGTTCATTGATATATATGCGTAAAGTAGATCCTGTTATATATACGCCGGGGTTTATAGTAATAAGTGTGTAAAGCCGACGATAGTAAACCGGTTTAAATGAAGAGTGATCTATCAGGATCGGAGAGGCCTCTGAATCTCATCCCCGTTAGCTCACAGGGGGGAAAAACAAACAAACAAGAAAGCGTCGCCTGTAATTGATACATTACTCGATAGAAATGCCGTTTTCATGACGCGTTTGATTTGCTTTTTAGGCTTCATTGTGTTGTAATATATTGTGCGCATGCATGTCGGCTATTAACTAGCAGGAAAGGTTTGTTTATGGGGTGAGTCGATGGGATTTTGCAGTGTTAAGAGAGGATGGCAGTTTGGTTTGTGTCATTAATAAGTGTAGTTTTATTGCATTAATAAGTTTATAAGAAGGGACACATGCTTGTGCATTTACTGTCATGGGTTTTACTTTTAATGTTTGCACGCAAACGATGTCAAATTGAATATTCGCTTGGTTTCATACGTTTCTATTGCTGATCATTGCACTGTAATGTATTTTGCACAATGTGATAACCTATTTCTTTTTCTTTACATCTGTCTGCACAGGCTTCCTTTGGGAGTTCGAGCCCTGGTAGGCCTCATTTTCTATTTTTTATGTGTATTATTATTATTTTGTTAGTAGTATTGCAAGCTATAGATGACCAAAATGTATTTTTTCAGTAGCCGATACTGCTATCAAGAGGGCAAGATAGTTCATATAATAATGTAATGTCAGTTCTAATATTTTGAGTTGTTTGCCATTTTTTCATTTTTGGGGAACTATTCATTTAATGCACAATTTCCATCATGTTGTACTAAATGTTGTACTAAAATCAGCCAATAAATTCCCCCCCCCCAGTTGGCTCTTTGTCCTCAGAGGATCATGACTTTGATCCAACAGCTGAGATGTTAATTCATGAGTATGACGATGAGAGAACTTTGGAGGAGGAAGAGCTTTTGGAGGGAGAGAAGAATTTCAGTGCTGAATTGTCAGACCTGGAGAGGGTAACGTGCATTCATAACAATCCACTTTTTTTCCTCATTAAAAACTGTATGCATTGTGTTCCAATCTCTGGATAATTAGGGCCATATTTCTGCATTGTAACACATTTCTTTTTTTTAACATGTATAGGAGGGGAATATGCCGATCGAGGAGTTGTTGGCTATGTATCGTTATGAGGCGCCAGTCAGTACAGGGGCGGGATCTAGCATGGACAGTTCCTCTGTTGAACTAGCTGATGATCTGCCTGACATGACCCTGGATAAGGTAATTGACATGATTTTGCTTCAGTGCTAGGGAAAATTGTCAACAAGATAAAATCACTAATGGTGTTCTGTTGCAGGAGGAGATCGCGAAAGATCTCTTGTCAGGAGATTATGAGGAGGAGACCCAGTCCTCTGCTGATGACCTGACCCCTTCTGTTACCTCCCACGAGGCCACAGACTTTTTCCCTAGAACACTCAGATGTGAGGAGGCTCATAACACTCTTTTACTAGTGTAGTTTGTGTGATTTTACATAATACTAAATTTTCTATCTGAATGTTGTAGGCGTTTTATAGTTTAATAATTGTAATTTATTATAAACTTAAACAACGTAGAAAGTAGTCATAATTACATTTAAATGTATTAAATTGAATTAAAAATGTTTACACCGTGTACTTAAGCTTTATAGGTAGACTGCAGGGGAAAAGTAATAATTTCAAGCATATTTTCATATTTTGTCCTTTTTAAAGGTATATGCAAATTTATTTAATGGATTTTTTTTGATTGTTTGTTTGTTTTCCAGCCAGAGCAATATATGATGGTGATAAAGAATCTGAGGGGGAGGAGGATGGTGTAAGCAGTGAAGATTCTAAAAAGGTTAGTCTCATATATTCATACGTTGTACATGATTTTTGACATTCTCTTAATACATTAACACATTAATTATTCAATATATGTGTGTATGTGTATATATATATATATATATATATACACACACATACTACTGTGCAAAAGTTTGGGGTTAAGTTTTTTTTATATTTTTGAGAAAGTCTCGTTTGCTCACCAAGGTTGCATTTATTTGGCCAAAATGCAGTAAAACCGAAATATTGCAGATAAAATAAAACGACTGTTTTCTATTTTAATATATTTTCAAATGTAATTTGTTCCTGTGATTTTCAGCAGTCTTGAGTGTCACGTTTACTCCAATCTACAGTGTCACATGATCCTTCAGATATTATTCTAATATGCGTTTTGTGGAAACAACGATACATTTTTTGTTTCAGCATTCTTTGATGAATAGAAAGTTAAAAAGAACAGCATTTATTTGAAATAGAAGTCTTTTGTACAATATGCATATTTTTACTGTCACTTTTAATCAGCTTAATGCATATTTGCCCGAATAAAAGTATTAACTTCTTTAAAAAAAAGTCTTACTTTTTGATAATTAAATTAAGTCTTTTATTATTGGTTTTTGCTCTAAAACACAGGAAATAATGGTCGGATCTCAGTATCAAGCAGAAGTTCCAATGGGGCTCAGCCATTATAATGATGATGAAAAAGGTGAGTGCTTTATTTAAATTAACTGTAATTAAAATGATCACTGCAATCATGACCATTTTAAATGTGTGTTGTTTAAAGTGTACGAGGAGGAAGATCAGCTGCTGTGGTGTCCTGATGTGCTGTCAGAGTGTAAAGTGAAAGACTACCTCAGAGAAGCGCTGTCACAGTCTACAGATGACAGCACAGAGAATTCCACATTTGAACACATACGAGATAACGAACAGGTATGTGCTCTCTAAATACTCTCATTAATTAATATAATTAATGTGAAAATCTTTTGCCCATGTGAGAGCTGCTGCTATTGTTTTAATTGCATTTTTTCCTGTGACCTCCTTTCTAGGCCTTGTTGGAGCTTTTGAAATGTAATTACGACACCTGTGAGGCACTGACGCGATACCGCAGTAATGTGAAGACTTCGAAAGGTAGGCTGTTCAGTACAAGACCAGCTTGACATTTTTTGTACTTGTAATGCATAAATGTTCACTTCTCTTTATGTTGTTTCGATAGAAGAATCCCCACCGTGGTTAGAGGATGAATGTAGGAACTTTGAACATGCGCTGCAGATTTATGAGAAAAACTTTCATCTTATTCAGAAACACAAGGCAAGTAAATTATGTTGTCTTTTCCACTGGCTACATCAACTGGAAGGAAGTGTTACTTGTTGCCAATGTTGTTGTTTTTTTTACACTACCATTCAAAATTTGGGTTTGGTGACTTCTCATCTTGATTCTGTTACTACTACTTCAGCAGTATTTGAAGGATGCACATTTTTTTTTCCCCTCAGTAGTTGTGTACCTAAAGAGGTGGGTGCTGAATTGGGGGCGAGGTGGGCCAGGGGGAAGGAGAAGCAGTAACTCATAGCCCCGTGGCCCAGTGAGGTCTTAATGTGGCCCTGTTCACATCCATTACATTCTCAAAATTTTGGGCAGTTGATAACACCTAAAATATCTAAATTGACTACGGGATAATTTTCTTATTTAGTACCGAAACTCTGGAACAATTTTTCTTGCGTGGTCCAGGAGGCAGAAACACTCTGTCAGTTTAAATCTAGATTAAACACCCACTAACACAAAAAATCCCCATAAGGGATTGTTAGGCTGCATTAATTAGGGCAACTGGAACCGGGAATACTTCCCAATAACACCCGATGTACTTGTTACATCGTAAGAATAATGGCATCTACGCTTATGTTTGTCTGTCTGCATCCAGACCAGACAGTGGACCTTCACCCAAGAACGAGCACAACACAGCCCTACACGGTCAGCGCAGACCTTGCCACTGTCGCCTTCTGGCTTGCTTAGTTGGGGACTGAGAGTCAATTAACTTTCAGAAATGTATAAATATGACCACACTGACAGACACCATCAGATGAGAACAACACTTGAACTGAAATAAAATGGATGATGGCACTATTGTCTTCTGTAGAGCTGCTTTACATCTGAAATTGAATTTGTTTAATAATTTATGTATTTTCAATACTGTTATTTTCCTGTTTGTTACTGCAAAGCTTCTTTGAAACAATCTGTGTTGTATAGAGCTCTAGCAAAACAAAACAAAACGTCCTTCCACATTTTTTATTGAACTTTCCCCCCCTGAAACGTTTTAGTTGGACGTCCGTCTGTTTTTAAACTGTTACTACTTATTTCAGAACTTTGACAGAACATTCAAAAGTAACGTTCCCATAATGCTTGCAAAATGATAAAATGAAAAATTTATGAAAACAAAAAAGTTTTTAAAACATTTAGAAACCTGGACGTTTTGAACATTCAGAGAATTTTCAGAAACGTTTTCATCATTTAATGGGAACGTTCACAAAGCTTTCTCAGAACATATATTTGTTAGCTGGTTATATAAATTAACGTGTGACTATTATTGCATATAACCATATTGTAATACTAATTTGCTTAGCATTATGACTCTTATTATGAGCTTTGCATCATGCATTGCATTATGACTTCTGTTTAAGTTGCTTACATCTTTATTAATAGTGTCACACTATTAAAGATGTAAGCAACTTAAACAGAAGTCATAATGCAATGCATGATGCAAAGCTCATAATAAGAGTCATAATGCTAAGCAAATTAGTAGTAGGCTATTACAATATGGTTAGCTACAATAATAGTCTTGCAAAAAGCACAAGAATGTGTATGACAAACCTGTATATAAAGGTGTAAATCTCAAAGCTAATTATCAAGTGTAACCCACATAGACTACTGTGTGTGAGGTCTATGAACAGCTTTAATCTAAAACCCGGTTCGCTGTAAACTTGTTTGAAAAGTGTGCCAAAAGTTCTGCGTCTATCATTGGCTCCCTATAGACATCCGGGTACTGCAGCACAGCCAACCTATGAGGCCAAAGACACCAATATGGCGGAGGTAAGCTGGATAGCTGGAAAAACTATTCGATTATAAATACATCTCTTTAACGATTTACTGTGTTATTGGGGACGTTCATTGATATATATGCGTAAAGTAGATCCTGTTATATATACGCCGGGGTTTATAGTAATAAGTGTGTAAAGCCGACGATAGTAAACCGGTTTAAATGAAGAGTGATCTATCAGGATCGGAGAGGCCTCTGAATCTCATCCCCGTTAGCTCACAGGGGGGAAAAACAAACAAACAAGAAAGCGTCGCCTGTAATTGATACATTACTCGATAGAAATGCCGTTTTCATGACGCGTTTGATTTGCTTTTTAGGCTTCATTGTGTTGTAATATATTGTGCGCATGCATGTCGGCTATTAACTAGCAGGAAAGGTTTGTTTATGGGGTGAGTCGATGGGATTTTGCAGTGTTAAGAGAGGATGGCAGTTTGGTTTGTGTCATTAATAAGTGTAGTTTTATTGCATTAATAAGTTTATAAGAAGGGACACATGCTTGTGCATTTACTGTCATGGGTTTTACTTTTAATGTTTGCACGCAAACGATGTCAAATTGAATATTCGCTTGGTTTCATACGTTTCTATTGCTGATCATTGCACTGTAATGTATTTTGCACAATGTGATAACCTATTTCTTTTTCTTTACATCTGTCTGCACAGGCTTCCTTTGGGAGTTCGAGCCCTGGTAGGCCTCATTTTCTATTTTTTATGTGTATTATTATTATTTTGTTAGTAGTATTGCAAGCTATAGATGACCAAAATGTATTTTTTCAGTAGCCGATACTGCTATCAAGAGGGCAAGATAGTTCATATAATAATGTAATGTCAGTTCTAATATTTTGAGCCATTTTTTCATTTTTGGGGAACTATTCATTTAATGCACAATTTCCATCATGTTGTACTAAATGTTGTACTAAAATCAGCCAATAAATTCCCCCCCCCCCAGTTGGCTCTTTGTCCTCAGAGGATCATGACTTTGATCCAACAGCTGAGATGTTAATTCATGAGTATGACGATGAGAGAACTTTGGAGGAGGAAGAGCTTTTGGAGGGAGAGAAGAATTTCAGTGCTGAATTGTCAGACCTGGAGAGGGTAACGTGCATTCATAACAATCCACTTTTTTTCCTCATTAAAAACTGTATGCATTGTGTTCCAATCTCTGGATAATTAGGGCCATATTTCTGCATTGTAACACATTTCTTTTTTTAACATGTATAGGAGGGGAATATGCCGATCGAGGAGTTGTTGGCTATGTATCGTTATGAGGCGCCAGTCAGTACAGGGGCGGGATCTAGCATGGACAGTTCCTCTGTTGAACTAGCTGATGATCTGCCTGACATGACCCTGGATAAGGTAATTGACATGATTTTGCTTCAGTGCTAGGGAAAATTGTCAACAAGATAAAATCACTAATGGTGTTCTGTTGCAGGAGGAGATCGCGAAAGATCTCTTGTCAGGAGATTATGAGGAGGAGACCCAGTCCTCTGCTGATGACCTGACCCCTTCTGTTACCTCCCACGAGGCCACAGACTTTTTCCCTAGAACACTCAGATGTGAGGAGGCTCATAACACTCTTTTACTAGTGTAGTTTGTGTGATTTTACATAATACTAAATTTCTATCTGAATGTTGTAGGCGTTTTATAGTTTAATAATTGTAATTTATTATAAACTTAAACAACGTAGAAAGTAGTCATAATTACATTTAAATGTATTAAATTGAATTAAAAATGTTTACACCGTGTACTTAAGCTTTATAGGTAGACTGCAGGGGAAAAGTAATAATTTCAAGCATATTTTCATATTTTGTCCTTTTTAAAGGTATATGCAAATTTATTTAATGGATTTTTTTTGATTGTTTGTTTGTTTTCCAGCCAGAGCAATATATGATGGTGATAAAGAATCTGAGGGGGAGGAGGATGGTGTAAGCAGTGAAGATTCTAAAAAGGTTAGTCTCATATATTCATACGTTGTACATGATTTTTGACATTCTCTTAATACATTAACACATTAATTATTCAATATATGTGTGTATGTGTATATATATATATATATATATATACACACACATATTACTGTGCAAAAGTTTGGGGTTAAGTTTTTTTTATATTTTTGAGAAAGTCTCGTTTGCTCACCAAGGTTGCATTTATTTGGCCAAAATGCAGTAAAACCGAAATATTGCAGATAAAATAAAACGACTGTTTTCTATTTTAATATATTTTCAAATGTAATTTGTTCCTGTGATTTTCAGCAGTCTTGAGTGTCACGTTTACTCCAATCTACAGTGTCACATGATCCTTCAGATATTATTCTAATATGCGTTTTGTGGAAACAACGATACATTTTTTGTTTCAGCATTCTTTGATGAATAGAAAGTTAAAAAGAACAGCATTTATTTGAAATAGAAGTCTTTTGTACAATATGCATATTTTTACTGTCACTTTTAATCAGCTTAATGCATATTTGCCCGAATAAAAGTATTAACTTCTTTAAAAAAAAGTCTTACTTTTTGATAATTAAATTAAGTCTTTTATTATTGGTTTTTGCTCTAAAACACAGGAAATAATGGTCGGATCTCAGTATCAAGCAGAAGTTCCAATGGGGCTCAGCCATTATAATGATGATGAAAAAGGTGAGTGCTTTATTTAAATTAACTGTAATTAAAATGATCACTGCAATCATGACCATTTTAAATGTGTGTTGTTTAAAGTGTACGAGGAGGAAGATCAGCTGCTGTGGTGTCCTGATGTGCTGTCAGAGTGTAAAGTGAAAGACTACCTCAGAGAAGCGCTGTCACAGTCTACAGATGACAGCACAGAGAATTCCACATTTGAACACATACGAGATAACGAACAGGTATGTGCTCTCTAAATACTCTCATTAATTAATATAATTAATGTGAAAATCTTTTGCCCATGTGAGAGCTGCTGCTATTGTTTTAATTGCATTTTTTCCTGTGACCTCCTTTCTAGGCCTTGTTGGAGCTTTTGAAATGTAATTACGACACCTGTGAGGCACTGACGCGATACCGCAGTAATGTGAAGACTTCGAAAGGTAGGCTGTTCAGTACAAGACCAGCTTGACATTTTTTGTACTTGTAATGCATAAATGTTCACTTCTCTTTATGTTGTTTCGATAGAAGAATCCCCACCGTGGTTAGAGGATGAATGTAGGAACTTTGAACATGCGCTGCAGATTTATGAGAAAAACTTTCATCTTATTCAGAAACACAAGGCAAGTAAATTATGTTGTCTTTTCCACTGGCTTCATCAACTGGAAGGAAGTGTTACTTGTTGCCAATGTTGTTGTTTTTTTTACACTACCATTCAAAATTTGGGTTTGGTGACTTTTTTTAAAAAATTATTTTTTTTAAGTCTCTTACCCTCACCAAAGCTGCATTTATTCAATAATAAAAATACAGTAAAAGCAGGAATATTGTGAAAATTTACTACAAAAAAAGAACCGTTTTCTAATTTAATATTTTAAAATGTAATTGATTTTATCAAAGTTTTTTTTAGACTAAAATATGTAATTTTATATTAATATTACATTAATGGTAACACTGTAAAATAAGGTTCCGTTAGTTAATGTACTAACTTACATGAACAAACTATGAACAATACATTTATTACAATATTTATTAATCTGTTAATGTTAGTTAATGAAAATACAGTTGTTCATTGTTAGTTCGTATTAATTCACAGTGCATTATCAATTATCACAGTGCGTTAACTAATGTTAACAAGCACAAATTTTTATTTTAATAAGGCATTAGTAAATTTTTTAATTAACATTAACTAAGATTAATAAATGCTGTAGAAGTATTGTTCATTCTTAGTTCATGCTAACTAAAGTAGTTAACTAATGTTAATTAATGAACCTTATTGTAAAGTGTTACCATATTAATATAAAAAATATGCATAAATTAGTATGCAGAGGAAACTGTGCATTAACTTATTACACTTTGGTTACACGTTACACACTTAGGGATGGGTTGGGTATCGCTTGGTTTTTTTTTTCGATACCGGTGCCAAATAAATGTTTTTAAAACCATAAATGACAGTGGATGACATTAAAGAATGACTGTTTTATTGAAGGAGAACAACAAAACTTTAAATTGAACAATGTATTAAAAGTTTAAGGTATACTGGAAAATATAAATAAATACAAAACACAGCAAATTAACATGAAAAATTCACAATAAAACCTAAGCCATCCAACCCAACTACAGTAATTTAACATTAACACTAAATAACAGTTACAGTACTAATAACGGCAAAGTAGTTGGTATCCTTGGTAGGGATCAGAGCATGTGAGCGAAGCGGAGCGGTGTGACGCTGCGCAACGTTTTCCGCTCTATGGACGTGTGCTCCACTCAGTCGCTCTAACCGCCCAAGCAAGCGCTCCGTTAATATTCCGCTCACACTCGCCGTAAACCAATTCCCGCTCACTTTTAGCCTGTAACCTAACAGAATCCTCAACTAAACACAAAGTCCTTTAAGACACAGATACATTCACCTTTAAAAACTTTTTAATTAACTTTTAAAATGTTTCTTTTGCTCGTTCGTTAGTTCATGGCTATACGCATGCTCAGTATATCAACTGCACTGCTTGTGCTCATCATCCGTTCTCTTTTCACAGCAGTTCAGTCAGTGGACTGGTTAATGGGATATTGGTTTATTTAGATTCAGAGGGATTGTCAGGCACGTTAAAAAATGTTAATAACTTAAGTAATTTGTGGATTAGTGCTTACTGGAAACGCACCGCACCTGCAACCGATCATCCAATTACAAAGATTCTAATTCTTAGTTCTGCATGATATGATGAATGGATGGTTAATTTTAACAGCAGATTCAGATTCAATTTAGAGCTGATCTGCACATCACTGCACATGTCTGCAGCGCATTACGGCTCCAACACATCCACCAGAGCTGATCGCAGCCACTCTAGTCGATGTTTGTGTTTATACCAGTGACCTCACGCTTCAGAAGCCGCTCTCTGCGCTGCTTCGCTAAAGATAGGCACCTAATTTATTTTTGATGGATGCCGTGTCCAAGCCGCACATAATTAGATAATTGAGGATGTATTTTAAACGACTAAAAAACAGCTACAAATCTTTTATTCTTGTCGTTCATAACTAGACTTTTAAGTCTATTAACTTTGTCTGTAGGCTACAGCACAAAAAAATAGGACATAGCAATAAACACAATTAAATCAGACAAAACATAACCATTCAGCCAACGAACCTATGGTAGAACCCTAAAAACATGGAAAATCAAGAAAAACAAGGTTGGACAGTCAAATATTGTGGTCTCACGAATCCAGTTGCTTCGCTCCTGGTGTTAGTTGGCACCACATGGAGGACGGAAAAAACCTGGTCAGAGCTGTAAGAGGTAACAATAACATAATATGCTGATCGTAGACTGCTTTTAAATGAACATTTATTTTTAAATCAAAAGATCTTCTTTGTCCAGATTAGTCTACACCAGGGGTGGCGAACTCCGGTCCTGGAGAGCCGCAGCCCTGCAGAGTTCAGCTCCAACCCTAATTAAAACTCACCTGGCTGTAGCTTCCTAGTAACTGTTCAGACCTTGATTAGCTTGTTCAGGTGTGTTTGATTAGGGTTGCAGCAAAACTCTGCAGGGCTGCGGCTCTCCAGGACCGACGTTCGCCACCCCTGGTCTACACTTTCTTAATAGCATAAACACAGGCTTTACTCCCTTCAAACTTGCATGGAATGTCACTTTTTCTGTCGCTGCAACTTCCTGAACGGAACACACACACACACGTGTCTGTCTGCCTGATGGAAAAAATGCATTTAAAACACGTTAATATTTTAGAGAATGTAGTTCATATTTGCATCATTAACGATTTATCTCATCCACCTGCGACTCACCCGTAATTAATCAGAATGGATTTTTTTATTACCTGACCCACCCGACCCGTGGATTATCCACAGCGCCCGTGGATATTCACTTTGCAGTGAATGGGTGCTGTCAGAATGAGAGGCCAAACAGCTGATAAAAACATCACAGTGATCCACAAGTAATCCATACAACTCCAATCCATCAATTAACATCATGTGAAGTAAAAAGCTGTTTGTAAGAAACTAATCCATCATGTAACTTCAGATGAATCCTCTAGCCATAATAGTGTTTTCAACAGTTAAAAAAAAAAAGCCATCTTGACTTAATTAGGAGAGAAATGTGCACAGATCAAGCACCCTTTACAAGTAAAAACAGTCCAAAACAAACAAATATGTTGGTGGATTTTGATATGAGAGGATGGACTTTTTAACTGGAAGAAGTGTTAGATTATCGCAATGTTTTTATCTGCTGTTCGAACTCTCGTTCTGACGGCACCCAGTCACTGCAGATGATCCATTGGTAAGCAAATGATGTAATGCTAAATTTCTCCAAATCTCTTTTGATGAAGAAACAAACTAATTTACATGGCCTGAGAGTGAGTAAAGTTTCAACAAATGTTAATTTTAGTGGGGGAACTATTCATTTAGCTCACTTAATTTCACCTTCATTTCAATAAAAAATGTAAACATTAATTTTCCCAAAAAAATTCTGTAGGAAATTAATTTTAATGAATATCAGCAAGGGTTTTTTTTGTCATACATCCCTGTTTTTTCCTCAAACATATCACAAAATTGCTTTCTTTACCCCTACTTGATCTTGCAGCCATTAGTAACAGCGTAGCAACTGTGTGCAATGGTCCAGGAGACATGAGCTGTTTAGACTCCCCGTACTTCCCCCCTCTGGAGAGTTTACACAGAGGAGCCCTGAACCATGATGATCAGCTCAGCTACACCACAAACGGAGACAGCGGCTGCCTCAACATGCTGGATTCCGGCTTCTATCGCTCAGACCTGAGCCAGATCAGCATGTGCAGCACCAAAGACCGCGAACGGCCCTCTAAGAGGCTCAAGATGGGCCTTTCGGAGCCCTTCATTAACGACGTGTCTGTTACTAACCTGGGTGTGGATTTCGAGGGCAGACGCACACATCGCATTACAGGGGCCACAATGGCGGTGTCAGTCACAGACTTCAGCAGCATAGGGAGCGGTGAAGCCAATGGTTTTCTCGGTTCTCATTCACGACACCACCAACACACTGCACTTCAGTCCGACTGACTCCCTTCTGCCATCCAGACACACATTCATCTGCTCACTGAATATTAGTTCTTTTTTAAATTAAAAAATATATCTATCTATATATATATATATATATAGCAAAACATTGCTATATATATATATATATATGAATATACTTTTTGGTAGTTTTTTTTGTTTTTGTAATATGACATCAGTGATGTCTTTATTGTACAGAGCTAAGAAATCTTGATTTCTCAAGAGTTTAAATAGCCATTTATTTTTCTGGTCCTTCAGATATTTAATATCCTTTATGTCTTTAGTGATATACAGTTAAACCTAAATGCTGGAGCAGAGAGCCGTGGTCTCTTACTGTACTCATCCCAACACCTGCATCTTTAAGTTTTACTGTCTCACGCAGAAGTTGCTGCCACCAAAACTGCATTTTTCATTGTTGTTGTTTTAGGATTTTTCATGTATGTTTGTTTCAAAAATGTGTATTTTTTTCAGTGTTTACACCACCCGCGATAGACTAAGCCTTGGGAAATGTAGCATTTTGTATATCAGGAAACTGGCTTTTGTCATTGAAAATAGTGATTGGAGCAAAAGTCTTACATGTTTAAACAAAGAGCACTTCTAGTCGCTGAAATGTTTTGCTGTCTTTTTTTTTTTTTTTAAGGAATCCTTGAGGTATCCATGTTTTTTATTATCCAAATGGGGTTTGGATCTCATTATTGGTTGGTGTTAGACTTAGGATGTTTTAAGTGTAAGCTTTAATAACTCAATTTATTGTGGTAGTCCGAAAATTTAATAGCTTGTTTTTTTTGGGGTTTATGCTTTTTTCTTTTTTAAATTGTTACAAAAAACTTTTTTCCCTTATATTTTTCTAAATTCTCAAATAGCATGACTGAAATTAACACAGATTTTTTTTTCAGCTGTGCACTGTAAAAAAAAGAAAAAAAAAGTTTTTGCAGTCCCCAAAGGTTTCTTTGTGTCCAAGATTTGGCACGCGAATAGTAATGTAACCTCCAATAACATTATATTAGACAGATTGGCTCTATAGGGCAGTCATCTGCACTTGTCAGTATTATCATAAGTCGTGTATAAATATTAGACTTTGAGAAGTGATGTTTTTGATTCCCCTCTGAGCTTATAAAGCTATTTAAATGCTACTCACTATAACAGGTTATTTTTTTTATTTTTTTTAAATCAATAACTTTTATCTTTGCTCCAAACTGCAAGCGCTTTAGTACCGATTGAACCAGTGTTATTTTTTATTTTCAGCTATGCATTATGTATATTTTATAGCTGCCAGGGGTACTGAGAACACCTGAATGTTAATTGAGCTAATTTGTTAATCACTTTTTACCTCTCTTTATGTTAAGCTCACTGGCTTAAGTTCTTTACCATTATTGTATATTGTATGCATGAAGCAGATTGGACTCTTGTTGATCCTTTTGACATATTTCAAGCTGATTAATATTAAATGCCAAAAAGCAGTCAGCTGTATCAAAACCGATACTGCCTCTGCGCTTGAGTCCTTCCTGCTATTTGCATTTTAAAACAACTTACCATAGAATAAATTTGTATACTAAAAGTATACTTTGATTAGTGTATTGCAGAATGCTGAGAAAATGTTATTGTTTATGGCAGTAATATGTAGATATGTATAGATTGTTGCACTTCTGTCTTACAACATCCATAGCTTATTTTTCCCTTTTTTTTTGTTTACTGCAGTAAGACGTCAAAAAGATGCATGCTGATGGTAGTCATTTGCAAAAAATACCACAGCATTGTTTTTTTGAGAGAGATGGAAAATTGTAGAAAATTTATGGACACTCCCATTTAAACCCATTTGTTCATCTCTTTGTTCAGTAGAGAGAAGAGTGTCATTGTTCACCGTGATTCTTACACCTGATACTTAACGGCTGCTATTAGTAATGTGAAGAGTCTATTTTCTATTGAATGCACTGCTGTTGCAATTATAAGTTGAGTTGAAAGTCTTGTGCATCTACATAGTTATTACATAGAGAAGTACTTGTTAGTAGCATGTTTGGAGCTGCGAATACAGACGCTGATTGAAATGGATCCATAGATGCCATTATTCCTTGACAGGGATTAGAAAGCACTACAGAGTTGTTTTCAGTATCTGTACATCCAGCAGTGAACTTTTATCATGCTCAACATACAAGTGTAGTACATATGTAGTACTTGGTGCTCATATAAAAAGTTTTTATTTTCATACTTTCAACCGTCTCTGCTCCTACTATTGTTTTAGTACTTTTTATGAATGATACAGTGAGTTTGCTGAAGTACATTGACAGTAATTGTACCCCCAAATATTGGCATAGTTTCATTTTAAAGACAAACTAAAATAACAATGTACAGGTTGTTTTGACCTATAGAAGTAAACATTTTACATCTTAAAAATATTGAGAGAAGTTTGGTAAATTGTCCTCTGTGGATTCGGGTGTGTGTTTTTTTATATATTTAATTTAGAAATGTAAAAGAATTATTAAATAAAGGTTTTCACATTCAACCATGGAGGGGGAGAACTCCGTGGTAAAAATCTGTGAATAAAACCAACCAATCCTATAAATGTATTTCCATATATACAGACAATCATTACATTTAATTACAGAATTATTCAGATATCTCTATTGTTTATATGTACATATAATTCTATTGCTTTTTGTTTGGTTTTTCATTATTTTGTATTTTTGTTGTACTTTATTACTTGGTGTAAAAAGCTCCAGAAATAAAAGCTTTGGAAACAAATGTGTGCTTATTTGAAAATAGCATGACATCCCTTCTCCACTATTTTAAGTGGAAGAAAAAAAGAAAAAAAAAAAAGAAGAGACAGATGGTGGTTGTGACTAAAAATAACCCAAGCTTTCAACAATGAGTAAATATTTGAATCATTCAAATCCACAATACTCCTAGTGATCCATTTTGTTCAGACCTGTAGAATATGCTGGCACTCGGATCAGTGCTTTTCTCTGACTCCAGAACACATAATGAAATGGAAGAGGAAATTCATAAACTCTGTTCATGATGGTCAGAAGAGGGGCTGGCCAGTACATCACAGAGTAAATGACAAGACAGACTGAAGAATAAGAAGGCAAAGAGTTCTGCATTTTAATGTTAAGTACAGAGCACCTGAATAATGAAACAACCAATCACAGGCTTAACTATCAAATAATAATCTGTATGTACAATTAAAACTAATTTATTTGGTTGGTTTGGTTTGCTATATGACATTATAAACTCCTCTTACACTGAGAAAAAAAAAGGTCAGGCAACCCATTTCTGCAAATAGAGTCTGATTGAATGAACTGGACAGACTAGACCACAGTCACTCTGGTCCACCACGCTGAAAGAAAGAAAGAAAAGAAGCTATTTTCAGTGGTTTGTCCATGTTCATGTCCATTTTTATTGTAAACATCACAGCATTAGTCTAAATTTCTTTACACAGAGTTACACAGTATTTAATTAACAAAATATTCTTTACTTTCTTGATTTGTAAAAACATGTGAACATGAACCTGAATGTAGTCCATTTCATCTAACGCAAGGGTTGTTCTGCGGTATTTCTGAGGGAGATCTCTAACTACATCAAGGCTGTCAGGGGTGCCAGGCAGTCGGCTGACGGGTCCCGGTGGTTTGGGTGGAGGTGATACGGATGTTGTAAGAGGAGGTGCAGATGGGGAGATCTGTGGGAGACAGGCTGCAAGCACATTCAGTGCCTCTTGCACTGGAAATACAGCACATGGAAAATATGTTACCAACAAAGTAGTGGTGAGCCAGCTTTAGAGTTTGCTACCATGATTTAAATACTAAATATCCATCTGAATGAATGAATGAATAAATGATATTCATAAATATCCATCTGCCACTATCGTTTAAAAAAATGATTGTTTGTTTGGTGTCTTGAATTTACTATGCTTGCTATTAAAAGCATTCTGCAGACTGCAGAGTGAAACATCTCATGTATTACACAAATAAAAATTATACTAAACTAAATTCAATGACAAAATTTAGGCAACATATGGGCTTGTTACTGACCATTTGGCCTAGGGATGCCATTCCGATCTGGAAATTTAATTAAAGGTGCACGAGGTCGCACAACCTGCAAATGAATAAATCTAATGAGAACAGTTGTGCATAAGTGACTTGTCTACAGCAGGGCTTCTGGAGGTTTTAAGAAAGTCAATTTAAGAATTCACACCTTTCTTTAGGACCTTTTTAAAGGCCTTTCCTCCCAAAGTATTGTTTTCTGTCAATTTGATCAAAATAAAGTGAGTTTAAAATTAAATCAAGAACAAATGTCTGCTAGTGGGCTCAGGAAAAAAAAAACATTCAAAGAAAAAACTGTTTTCACACCCCACTGACAGATATTTGCTCTCGTTTTAATCATAAACTCACTTCATTATGCTCAGTTTCTCAGAAAACCAGATTTTATATCTTTATTTTGCATCTCAAGTAAATGTATCCTGATTTAAGCACATTTGGATATTTCTATCAGAAGCCAAGACAAAATACTCTATTTTCTTTGCAATTTATACAACATTTGATGCATGACTATGAATTTAAGACTTTCTGTTCTGATTTAAGACGTTTTAACACTTTAAATTGTGGAAAGGTGAAGTACAACAGTCTTAATTAACCTGCAGAAACCCTGTAACTGTGCTTCATTCAAGAGACTGAACAAACATGAAAAACTTAGGCTTATTCTGAATATTTAGAGATTGCATTTTATTGTACATAATGCTTAATGTTCTGTTGAGATGACATTGTGGTTTACAGGAAAGAAAGAAAGAAATATACAGAGAAGAAACTTGGTTTGCCCACAAGGGCATCTGGCAAACCAGTGAAATGCATTTTGGTGAAGTAAACACACTCAAGATCAAAATGACTAAATACTAAGCAGATAAGTGATCACCGTTTCAACAATGCACCCATATGAACGAGATGTCACAGCAAAGCACTAAGTGTACAAGCTGAAGCGAGTGTTTACCTGCACGACCCGACTGGCCGCTGCCATCTTGCTACTCACTTTGCTTCCCATGACGACATCCGATCACTGCTTCCGGTTCAAACACAAACACAAACACAAGCGCGCACACACACACACACACACACACACACACACACAACCATAAAGAGTACATTAGCAACCTGAAGAGGGCGCGGTTGTATTATAACTTAAAGGACAAACGCGGCAAACCAACAGCGATTGGAAGTCTGAGTCGGTTCCGCAAATCGGTTCTTTTGAACAATTCGTTTAAAAGAACTGGTTCAACAATTATCTCGAATCCCTCAGACCGATTCTACAAACCGACTCAACTGATTCACTGAAAAGACTCGACCTAAAAAAAAACGTTTTGATCGCTTCTGCTTTTAGACTTGGCAACCAGGAGAGGCCATGTAAGGACTATCATAAAGGACAATGAATGCGTACGTGTTGTATTAATTATCTAGAATTAACTACAACCGTTATGTTTACTGATACAGTGCGAGTCTAGAGCAGAGAAGCTGTCACATTACTGAATCATATGGAATGAACTTGAAACAGGCATGTACATGCAAATGTATCTAATTAATGAGCTTTTATATCACACATCAATAATACATTACTGCAGCACAACGCAAAATTCATTGATTATACAATAGCTCATCCTGCTAACATTCATCACAAGTGGTTCTGCCTTTAAAACAATGCTACATTTCAAATCTATAGAGCCACGCTTCTTAATAAGCACAATAAACATACAGTCTTACCGACAAGACGCTATCTAGTATTGTATTATAACCTTATTTTTCCATGTTGACCTCCGAAATTCCGAAACACACTATACACTGTGCTAACAGTGGCCTGGCTGTGGCGGCCAATCCTTCATTTCTGCTCATGTTTAGTTTGATGCAGGTGGGCGGGGTTTCGAGGCTCACTCTGGTCACGTGACTGTCATGTGACGTCAAGACTTCCTGGCGGCAGTTTCAGACGGGGCTGAGGTCGCGCTGCTCGGAATCGTGCAATTTAAAAAAAGGAATATCAGTAAACAAAAGCCGCAACAGAAAGAACAAGAAGCGACGGTAAGTGAAACAAGTTGTTTAAATACGTTAAATATATTGTTTTTTTTTTATATCCTTATCCGGTAATTATAACAGGGTCGCTACGGGGTTTGGAAGAGTATGGATTTTGATTTAAGTATTTTACTGGTCTGGAAAAGTATGGAAAAAAAGAAAGCAAAGTATGGAAAAATATTTGTGTTTGCAGTTTTTTATAATAGAAAACTAAGAATTTAATGAAAATAAATGTACTGTACAAGAAGTGAGTTTTCATGGCAGCTGTTAAGTGATTCTTTAGTGATTGTCAAATACCACTGAATTAATTCAAAGTGCACTTTTCATTATGCAAAATGCAGGTTATAATCGTATTAGGTTTCTTCTCATGATATTCTTAGCACCGTACATAGCCTCAAGGACCTTTGCAAAAAAATAAAATATACTGACATTTATGTGCGCACAAGAAACCATTAAACTTAGCATTTAGGACAATACACACTGAGGCACCTCTTGTGCCATCAGCCCATTTCACAGTGTGTTTTTTTGGCCTACACAAAGTATGCGTTAAAGAGACATAAGGCCTTGAAATATGGCATACTGCCCTAACGAAAGCCAAATTTTAAATACTTTTTTTACAGTACCTGTCTTTTTTATAAACCCTTGAACTTGGCACATTTTATGCCATCAGCCCATTTCGTGTCATGGTTTCTCCGCCGCCACAGAGGATGTATTCAATTGGACATTGGATATTAGAGGTACTACCATAAGAAAAGACAAATTTTGAGCAAGTAGATCTCTGTTAATTCATATGCATCCATTTTCTCGTTTTATTCATAGTAGGATGGCAGTGATGCACAAAGGAAATAGGTTATTTAAAACTAGAAATTGTAATACGTAAGCATGCAATAAATTCCCATGCACATGTGAAGAATTTCTCGAGGGCACAAAAAGTTTCTTGTGTGCATGTAAAGTCTTTGTTTTTTTTTATACACTTTTATTTTAGGGGCTCTTTATGTTGTCACTTAGAGAAAATCAATGGAAAAAAACTTGAGAAAATAAAAAATATTTACAGATGGCTGTACTATATATAAAATATAAAGTTGAAAATCAGGGCCGTTGCTAGTGGGGTGAAAGGTGGTGACGACTATAGGGGCCCATGGCTGAGGGGGGCCCCCCGGCGATTTCAACCGACTGCCCAAGGCCAGCATAAAAAGACGGCCTGCGCATCATCACGAAAGCTTATCAGTTGCACGTGTTTTAAGTCTTACCAATTTAAGCATTCAAAACAGTTTAAAGCATTCAAACACAAGACGTGGAAAAACTCAACTGAGAGTTCGGAGCACACGGAGAGCCGCGCAAACACCGATCTGAGCTCTGCTGCGCTTCCTCCCGTGCCTGAACGAACAAATACACCTCACCGGTTTAAACATACAAACACAAAAAGACATGAAAAGCTTAATTCAGCACCACAGCGCGCACTCAGAGAGCCGCGTCTCACAGCCCTTGAACACCGAATTGAGTTTTGTCTTGCTCTTGAAACGACAAATACGTACAACATTGTCACAATACCTGTCTTTGCGAGCATCCTCAAAAAAATTGTCAGTTATGTCTTAAGTGAAAGTAAACAGTTGAGAAAGAAATCGAATGTGTACCATTATATTGGATGCATTGTCTCTTAAAGTGACCGCACCTAATTTACTAGCTGCTGTCAGTGTCCATAATGTTAATACAGTTTCTGTACCTAGACACCTACAAACTTGAAAAATCTTAAACATTGTTTAATTTGTATATTTGTGCTATTTACACAATTTCAAACAGGGCCCACGGATACAACCTGCACCGGGGACCCACAAACCCCAGCTACAACTAAAGACCTGTATGAACACAGTTCTCCAATGTATGTAATTTACCTGTAAATGTGCTCACTGTTACTATGTTCAGAGTAATGTATATTTAAGCTTTTTGTCACGGCTCAGTTGAGAATGTTTTAAAAGCACTCTGAATATAAGAAATGTTGTTTACCAATTAATTTACTTTTTAAAATAAAGTTCTGGCTGATCCTTCAATAAAGGTTGATATATAACCACATTCACCACCAGCTGTACATCTGTAATGCCATGCATTTAGGTGAAACAGGATATTCAACAAGTAAAAAGGCCATTCCACACAGAATCAAGCCAGACCTGAATGCTTAAGGGCTAGTTGGCTTTTCGATTAACATTATCTATTAACATTACCTTTTACAAAGTATTTTATTTTCCAGCCACTTTAAGTGAAAAGTTTTAATACAGACATAAAAAAAAATACAGACATGATTTAATAAAGTTCAAGCAGTAGAAAGGATCAATTGTATCATATTTTCACCACCTGTCCTGCAATACATGGGCTCACTCTCTTCCCCTCCACCAGCACAGGGTTTGGCTGAATGAGTAACCTTCCGTAAGTCCCGCCCACCTGTCCTTTAGTGAGACGGCCAGGATTGACACACACACAGCCAATCACATCCTGAGAAATAATGGAAAATTAGTTTTCCAGTCAGAATTGAAATGACCTTTTATTTGACATGGTATATAAATAAACATGTCTGAAAATGTGAGTGATTTACCTTGATGAAATACCGAAGTTCAGAAGGAACGATAAGAATATCAGGAGTGAGGTTCATTTGGCTGAATTGTTGAAACTTGTCATAATCCATGTTAACTTCCTCCGCAGGAGGATAGAGAGGATAATAGCTAAAAGAACAATGAAATGAAATCTCAGGAGCAGCAGAGAAGAGCACAGACAAACAACATTTTACTACTAATTAAACCGGAGATCATTTCATTTGAAAGATGAGAAATGAATGTGTTCTACAAACCTCCTCTGGGTCAACATGTGTTTCATGATCCGTGTGAAACGTTCCGTGCCCGTGCCACTGCAAAAACCATAATTATACCACAAATCAGTGCTTGTGCTCACTCATTCCTCTGACATTATTTTTAAATCCACTTAATGTTAATGAAATAATGTAAGTTCATATGTTAGTTGTAGGTTGTTTTCATGCTAGAATTACTAGTTGGTTCAGTATTTTTACCTGCTGATCTCTTCAGCTCCCATATGAAACAAAATGTCTGTAGAGGTCAGGCCAAATGTCACATTACTGATGAGGAGCGTGCAGGGGTCAGAAGCTAAGGTCACTCGCTAGGGGTGGAAAATGTATATTGGACAACAAGAGTAGAAAAAGAAACGGTTTAATTATTCAGGTAAAGCATTAAGACTTATTAAATAAAGCCATGTCTTTCTAATTAAGTTTGCCCTGAATCACACAAATGATAAAATATTAATCACCAGCACTTAAAAATAAAGAGGACGGCCAGTTACATTCAAAGCATGTAGCTAATCATCTCACCGCTGAATCATCTTTGCTGAGGTTGCTCAGGTTGAAGGGTGGCTGAGGATAAATGTAATGATGATGGACATCCCTCTGAGACGGCACAAACACCAACCTGCATCCCGACCTATAATAAAAGAATGCGTGCAATGAAAACACGGTTGTACATTGTGAGCACTTTCTATAAAGATGTGAAGAAAAAAAAAATATATATATATATACAAACCCTTTGGTTCCTTCCACTATGCTATCCACACATCTCTTGAAGATGGTTTCAAATGTTTCCGTTACCTGGTTTTTCTGTTAAAAAGACATCATGTGGTTAAATTTGTGGCCATTATGAAAAATTTTAATATAGGAATTTCAAATACATATGAAATCTGGATTACCTCAATCTGCTCATGTTTGGAATCAACAAAAGGCCCAAGCTGTAAGAGAAATACAGTTAATTATTAGTCAAGGTTCCACAGATTTAAATACATTTAATTAAAATGTCCATAAAAGCAGTCACACGGTTACATGAATTAGGTTGTCACAATTGTAGATTGTTGGACTAAAACACAACAGAAATGTGTCTAAAGCTGTACCCACCAGAATGCACACATCAGGCCGATCTTTATTGATGATAGTAATGAGGTCAATCAGAGGGTCATAGGTCAGACTTTCAGAGGGGGTGTACGGTCCACAAGCCATCACGACCATCACAGGCTCAGACACTGAAAAAGTGTGTTATGAAGGGTATACTGTGAGCATTGATCTCAACAGTGATGTTCTTGATATATTTTTACTAATCTTACCTTCATCCATTTCTTGTTTCACTTCAGGAGGACAGTGAAAAGGCAGGGGAATACCCTGGTGGAGAAACAAATCACAGAATAAATATCATAACTCATTATTCAACAAATTCTAACCTATTCCAAACAGGTTTCAACTAAAGAGAGTCATATGCGAGAGATACCTCATATAATTTGGTAGCAACAAACGTCTCCCCAGAGGGGTTCATACCTTCCATGACAACAACCTACAAAAGAGAGTAAGAGAATGTTGCTAATATAGATAATAATGTATGCCAAACACATTGCATGATTAGAGATGCGGGAAAAAATACTTTTTCCAATACATGTTCTTTCTCAAATGAAAAATTATTAATTTTAGGTTCATTATTAATAATTCTGGTTCATGCAATTATATGCAATATAATATCACTTAGTAATAAGATGAAGATGAAAACATATATATAAGAAAAAAAAATGCATCAAATTGTAGGCATGTATCTCACCTGTCCAGGAAAAAGTGAGAACTCTTTGAGCTCAGACAGATCCACAGGCACCTGTCTGCCCCCCTGTTCCTGTCCGGTCTCCAGCAGCACAGATTGGGCATTGAGCTTCCCGTTACTGTCACAACACACTTGACCCAGCACTGTGATGCTATCCTGCAAGAGAGAAAGAAAATGAGATCAGTTAGTTAAAATGGATACACACACACTGCAGAATTAACTTTTGTAGATAAATATTTTCCTTTTTATCACTTCGAGAATATAATTCTTTAGCCTCTTTTGCTTATTTAGTCATGATGATGTCTGTGCTTGTACCTGAACAGGTAACGAAACTGCAGAGAATTCCTCTATGTTAAAACGACTCCGGAGTTCTTCTCCAAGTTCTTCAATCTTTTCAGTCAGAACTATAGATGAGATAGAGAACATCTATAAATATCTAAAAAAGACAATCTGTATGTTTCATGCAACACACACACAAATCTACATCCTGCCATGCAGGTTAGAACGGTTTCAGTAATTGTGGAAGAATCCACATCTAACATAATGCACATTTAAAAAAGAACAATGCTTTGTCAATGAGAACACGGCCTCACCGTCCCGCACGTCTCTCAGTCTCTGGAACATGTATTTGTAGCTGCTGATGAGTGAATTCTCTCCTCCTTCCAGCATCTCGACCCTCACAGAGCTCTGTCCTTTACCCGTCCAGCGAGGACCCTGCACTGCCCCAAACGACGAAACCACCTCTCCTCGCCCACCACGCATGCCATATTTTTGAGAAGGAGTTGCACTACACAAACACATAACACAACTTTATAAGCAGTCACACGGTTACATGAATTAGGTTGTCACAATTGTAGATTGTTGGACTAAAACACAACAGAAATGTGTCTAAAGCTGTACCCACCAGAATGCACACATCAGGCCGATCTTTATTGATGATAGTAATGAGGTCAATCAGAGGGTCATAGGTCAGACTTTCAGAGGGGGTGTACGGTCCACAAGCCATCACGACCATCACAGGCTCAGACACTGAAAAAGTGTGTTATGAAGGGTATACTGTGAGCATTGATCTCAACAGTGATGTTCTTGATATATTTTTACTAATCTTACCTTCATCCATTTCTTGTTTCACTTCAGGAGGACAGTGAAAAGGCAGGGGAATACCCTGGTGGAGAAACAAATCACAGAATAAATATCATAACTCATTATTCAACAAATTCTAACCTATTCCAAACAGGTTTCAACTAAAGAGAGTCATATGCGAGAGATACCTCATATAATTTGGTAGCAACAAACGTCTCCCCAGAGGGGTTCATACCTTCCATGACAACAACCTACAAAAGAGAGTAAGAGAATGTTGCTAATATAGATAATAATGTATGCCAAACACATTGCATGATTAGAGATGGGGGAAAAAATACTTTTTCCAATACATGTTCTTTCTCAAATGAAAAATTATTAATTTTAGGTTCATTATTAATAATTCTGGTTCATGCAATTATATGCAATATAATATCACTTAGTAATAAGATGAAGATGAAAACATATATATAAGAAAAAAAAATGCATCAAATTGTAGGCATGTATCTCACCTGTCCAGGAAAAAGTGAGAACTCTTTGAGCTCAGACAGATCCACAGGCACCTGTCTGCCCCCCTGTTCCTGTCCGGTCTCCAGCAGCACAGATTGGGCATTGAGCTTCCCGTTACTGTCACAACACACTTGACCCAGCACTGTGATGCTATCCTGCAAGAGAGAAAGAAAATGAGATCAGTTAGTTAAAATGGATACACACACACTGCAGAATTAACTTTTGTAGATAAATATTTTCCTTTTTATCACTTCGAGAATATAATTCTTTAGCCTCTTTTGCTTATTTAGTCATGATGATGTCTGTGCTTGTACCTGAACAGGTAACGAAACTGCAGAGAATTCCTCTATGTTAAAACGACTCCGGAGTTCTTCTCCAAGTTCTTCAATCTTTTCAGTCAGAACTATAGATGAGATAGAGAACATCTATAAATATCTAAAAAAGACAATCTGTATGTTTCATGCAACACACACACAAATCTACATCCTGCCATGCAGGTTAGAACGGTTTCAGTAATTGTGGAAGAATCCACATCTAACATAATGCACATTTAAAAAAGAACAATGCTTTGTCAATGAGAACACGGCCTCACCGTCCCGCACGTCTCTCAGTCTCTGGAACATGTATTTGTAGCTGCTGATGAGTGATTCAGTATCTGTAAGGATCACATAAGCAGTATACAAATCAAGAAGGGAAACATAGGGGGTCTTATTTATTAAGGCATCTCAGGAGATCTCAGAATAACTATGTTGCAGTTATCATGTTTTGCACACTTGTACTAACTTCATGTTCAAACTGGTCCAGGTTATCAAGAGTGAGCGGCAGCTGGTCTTTACTGGAGCTGAAAGCAAACCACTCAAATACGATCTCATCCCCCTTCAGCCTGCGACACAAACACTGCTCCAACACTACAAGAGACAATTATTACAGTATATCACCATCATAAGAGTGTAATGTGTATGTATATATAGACACACACACACACACACACACACACACATAGTGAATTTATGAAATAAATGATATTAACAAAAATATAAACAACAAATAAGAAACTTGACATTTACTTTTATCCACAGTGTCATTGTTGAAGGCTATGTTGAAAGTGTCCAGTTCAGATTTGATGTCCTCTGCAGTGACTGATGCCATTGTTGTTGTGTCCTCTGATGTTCAAAAATTCAGAATCTGTAACACTAGAACAGAATAAAGAAGATGCATACATGTTCCGAATAACAGATTTCATCAGTCGCAATGTTAGAGTCCCGCTGAATAAAACACTGAACTGGCGCTAAACACAACAACTTAAGAACCTATTTTGCTTTCTAAATACAATTTTATTCAGCGGAATATAAAGCTCCAAATAAAAAAAATGATCTTCAACACACATTATATTATCATTTGAAAGCTTACCTTCTATATTAATATAAAAACTCCGTTGTCATATTCATCAACAGTCTTTGTATCACGTTCAGATTGCCGCGAAAATGTCCCCGCAACAACAGCTCTAAAAAGGTCACTTCCGGTTCCTCCACGCGTCCTCCACGACGCCAGAGGGAGCTTGAGGCGGTCAACTGAATTTCCGAATCCGATCAGCTGAAAGGAACCGAAGTTGCTACACGTGTTTATATGATAGCGCGAACGTATTCACACATTTGTACTGTATATTGCAGTTTAGAATCTCAAACATTATTTATCAAAATGCCGAAGGTTAAAGCTGAGAAAAAATCTCGACAACACCAGGAGGTGAAGAGTCAAGGTAACTTAGCTTACGGTCGTCTTTTGTACTGCATGCTAATGACTAAGAAAACGATGCCTGTTTTTCGGACCATAAAGAATGTGGCATTGTGACATTATTTCCATCCGAAGTGACATCGCTGTAACGCATCATGTAGCTACGTTTTACATTTATGTAAAAGTAAAGGCATAATCTGGAAAACCAAGACTTGTGAATTATAGGGAATAATATTTTGAATATGATACAGTTGGTTTGACACCTTTATCTCAAACGTGTCAGAGTTTAATTTAAGTGGGTACAGTATATAAAACAACAAATATGGTTTCAGTGCTATATATAAAAACAGTAAAGGCATAATCTGAAAAAACAAGCCTTGTGCATTACATTGAATAATATTTAGATATTTTTATAGTTGTTTTGATACCTTTATCTCAAACTGTGTCAGAGTTTAATTAATTTAACTGGATACAGAATAATAAACATGACAAATATGGATTCAGTACTGTATATTAAAACAATAAAGGCATAATCTGGAAAACCAAGACTTGTGCATTATAGGGAATAATATTCTGAATATTTTACAGTTGGTTTGATACCTTTAGATCAAATGGTGTTGTCGTTTAATGGATTTATATTATTGCATACATTAAAAGTTGTAAAATTATTATAAAAAACATAAAATTGTAATTCCAAAAACAGAGCTTTGTGCAATAACAGCTATGTTTCCCCGAACATTTTAGTATTGGTTTTATATTATAATCTCACATAGTTAAATTGTTTAATTAATTTAAATGGTAAATATATATTTTTTTAATTCCTAGAAATTAAGACTTGTGCAACATAAAGGGCATATATTTATGTCTATCTGAGTTAGTTTGGGCTCAAAACATAAAAGCTGCAAAGAGTTTAATTGGCAAAAAACCCGAATGTCTAATGAATGTCAAACTAACTTTACCGCCGTTTACATTTGATTCTCTCTCTCTCTCTCTCTCTCTCTCTCTCTCTCTCTCTCAAGCTCAAAGTTTATTTGCTTAATTGTCATGCCAATAATATCACAAGGTTGGAAATTTGTCTTATTTGTCTTTGTGGGCTATTATTGGACGTTTAAAGTTTGTTAGAATCCACCGCTCATAAACAATAAAGCATTAATGTTTCTTGATCTGTTTCAGGAATTATGTTCAATACTGGTATTGGTCAGCATATTTTAAAAAATCCTTTGGTTGTCAACGGCATCATAGAGAAGGTCAGTAATGTGACTTTTTCTTTCAAAATTTTCATTTTATATTTCTGGCAATTCATCTTTCTTTTAAAGAAAGTAACATCTCTCTGAATGTGTCACCACATTGTAACAGCACAAAATAATTAGTTGTGTTGATTTAATACAAAAGTGTCATTGCAGGCAGCATTACGACCAACAGATGTGGTTCTGGAAGTTGGTCCTGGAACGGGTAACATGACTGTCAAACTTCTAGAGAAAGCCAAGAAAGTAAATATGTTTCATTAAATGTTTATTGCTGGATTTTAACTAGTGATTCATTTATTTATTTTTATTATTATTTTCCCCCAAATCATAATTACTCCATTTACAATAATTCAAAGGTAGTTGCATGTGAGTTGGACACCAGGCTTGTCGCTGAGCTTCAAAAAAGAGTTCAGTGCACGTAAGTGTTTTTCGTACACATTCACTGCCACTGTTGTCAACACCTGTTTGATTGAAAAAAATCTGTTTTCAATGCAGTCCAATGCAAAACAAGCTACAGATCCTCATAGGGGACGTTCTCAAGACAGAGCTCCCCTTTTTTGATGTCTGCGTGGCTAACTTGCCTTATCAGGTATTGGTTTAGAGATTTGTTTGTGCTGTAGATCTGTCTTCAGAGTTGCTGGTAACACTTTACAATAAGCTCCTATTAGTTAATGTTAGTTAATACGTTAACGTTCAGCAACACATTTGTTCCAGTATTTGTTAATTTTTTAAACGTTATTGAAAAAAGATTTAGTTTTTAGTTCCTATTAGCTCAGGTCCAATAGATAATATTAACAGATTTGATTTTAATAATGTGCCGTATTTGTAAATGTTGAAATTATCAATAACTAAGACAAATGAATGCTTTAGAAGTATCTGTCATGTTAATGTATTTAACAAATGAAACCTTATTGTAAAGTGAGATTTTATTTAATTTTTTTCTAGATATCATCACCTTTCGTGTTCAAGCTGTTACTTCACAGACCGTTTTTTAGGTAAGAAATTGGAGAAACCGTTTTTATCAGGCTGGTTCAGTAAATGTGAGTGTAGAATAGAGTAAACAAACTACTCTAAAAGATGATTCACTCCTTAAACTGAAAAATGGGACTTACATTCCTACCTACTTCTATTATATTGATCATTATGGTTTCTTCCATTCACATTTGTACAAGAGGCTCATTTGCTCCCAATTATACAATCTACGACTTTACAAAACCAGTTAAAACCCACTGCATTGCAATGGAAAATAATAATGAAAAGTAACATCTGTTGCAGAGATGAGAAGTTATCACCATGTCAGTAATAGTGGTGGTTTGAGTTGAGTTTTGTATTTATTCTGTCTGTAGGTGTGCTGTGCTGATGTTTCAGAGGGAATTTGCCATGCGGTTGGTAGCTAAACCAGGAGACAAGCTATACTGCAGACTGTCCATCAACACACAGCTCTTAGCCCGCGTGGACCACCTCATGAAGGTCAGTGCCTGTTCAGATTAATTTAATGTATTCTCATTATTATTCATATGTGAAATCATATACTAAAATGCTATGATCATGAAGGTGGGAAAGAACAATTTCAGACCACCTCCAAAAGTAGAGTCCAGCGTGGTGAGGATAGAGCCTAAAAATCCTCCACCGCCAATCAACTTCCAGGTAAGTGTCCTTAATTTAAGTGTGTATGACTGACTGAGCAGTTATTGGAAATAATATAATCTTGTTTTTCCACATTTATAGGAATGGGATGGTCTTGTCAGAATTGCATTTGTCCGAAAGAACAAAACACTCAGTGCTGCCTTCAAGTAAGACATCCCTATATAGTGTTTTTGTTGAGCGATCAATAGTAATAAATTCAAGCAGCTGGTCAGTCGTGATATTGAATTGACGTTTTTTTTTGAAGGTCTGCTGCAGTCGAACAGTTATTGGAGAAGAACTACAGAATCCATTGCTCAGTGCACAACATAGTGAGTCTGCTTCACTTTGACGCTTTAAATATACTTGACCTGAGACACCTTTATATTCATGGCTTTTGTGGGCCTTAAAAAGTCTTAATTCTCCCTTCCCAAAAAATATGGCTTTAAAAAAGGTCTTAAATCAGGTCAGAAAGTCCTAAATTCATAGTCATGGCATTAGATGTTGCATACATTGCATTAATATCTTCGTTAGTATTTTGTCTTGCTTTACAGTACAAATATCTAAATAGCCTTAAATCAAGGTACATTTAATTAAGATGCAAAATGAATATCCTTGAAGTCTGTTTTCTGAGAAATTGACAAAATGAAGTGAGTTAATGAGTAAAACACACAAACGTCTGTCACCTTTTTTTCCCTTCGAGTTAAGCTGATTTTTCTGAGCCCATTGGCAGTTTCTCAGAAAGCAAGACATGTTGTCTCGTATGTCATTCTGCTTCTCAAGTAAATGTCTTGATTTATCTTAAATCTTGATTTAAGATTTAGATATTTGCACTGGAAAACAAGACAAAAATACTGAGGATGAACATGAGTTTTTGCAGTGTGCTATGAAGGTACAGTAAAAGTTATTTACATATTCTAATTAAGGTATTTTTTGTAAGAAATATTTCTATTTAGAAAATCGTTTTGACATTGTGTTTCATTTATTTTATTCCTTAAATTTTCTTTAAGTGGTCTTAAAAAGGGTCTTGGAAAAAGTCTTAAATTTACTTTCATAAATCCTGCAGAATCCCTTCTATTAAAATACATTTCCAAATTGTATTGCAGGTAGTGCAACAAGATTTCAACATCACTCAAAAAATTGAAAGCATCCTTCAAGAGTCGAATTTTAGTGACAAGAGGGCACGTTCCATGGATATAGATGATTTTATGGTGTAAGTATGACACTTCATAAACAATACTTTTTAATCCTTGTTCTTTGGGGGGTGTTTTGTTAAACATTTTCTGCATCCATATTTTACGGTAGGCTTCTTCATGCGTTCAACTCCACTGGGATACACTTCTCCTAAGACTTAAGAAACAGGAAACAGCTACTAGGCTGACAGGAAGTGATGTCACAATCTTCTCATATTCTGGTTGATGCTATGTGAAGAAATGAATTATATTTCTTTTCAATGGACATGCAGTGAGACCCCTAATCACTCAGGCTGGAAATGTTTTGTGCCTTTCATGAACATCATTCAGATGTAAAACTGGTGACTATTAAGAGGATTTGAAGAGGACATCTTGGGTTTTTATTACTTATCTTTTTGTACTTGCTCTGCAGTTGTGAGTACACCAGTTTACTCTTCATATAACTGAGGTTGTCATAAAGAATGTTAATCTTAATCCCCATCAATCTCCGCATTTAATACACAACATACTCTCTTACCCGCTGTGTACTGCTAAATACTGATCTGTCAAAGTGAGAAATGATAAACTGCTAACACTTTACAGTAAGGTTCAGTTGGTTAACCTTAATGTGTTTATCAGCTGGCGTGAACTAATTGATGGCATTTTCACAGCATTTTGTATCTTAATAATGTTAATTTATAAATATTGAAATTAATTT